TCATGACATCCATCCACTCCCTGTAAAAAAGCCTTTCAAAAATTTCTAAATAAAGGGTGGGTTTAGTACAGATGCAATTTATGACTTTTTTATCCGTGTGATTTTATATGTCATTTATTTACAACAACAACAACAATAAGAAAGCAAAGTACAAATGTAATACCAGTTTTTGGAAAACCTATTTTCAAAGTATGTTGCACTAGAGAAGAATTCTAGTCACGGAGTTAACGTTTGATGAGCAGAATTTATTATTCCTTAAATAACATAACCTAAATGAGCTGAGCATTCGAGAATTAGCAAATATATATCTAATAAATTATTGTTTGAGTTTTAAAATAAAGAATTGAAGAGAACTGTACTTCATAGATTCTTTTATACAAACCTGAAGGATGGGAAAATTCCCTGGAGTTTCCTACGTGCTTACTATATATTCACTCATTCTACTTAATTTGCTTATGAGTATGAAAACTTAGATACCAAAAAGAAATTCTACTTGTGTTTGTTGTGTGATAATTTTCTTTTGCTTGTGATTTTCAGAAGATGAGTCCACCACAGTGAGGTGCCTCTGAGGTATTAGAATGCAGAAGGGATGTTGGTAGTCTTATTCCATGAGACAGAATTCTAAATTTAAACCAAATTTAATTTAATCTCCTTGTGATTATAAACATGTTAAATATTTAGTCAAGTCTATTTGTCTATCTACATAAAATAAAAGACATTTTAAATTTAGTACAACATATGCATATAAAAACTAGGTGCCTCATGGGTTTTCTGTATTATTTCCTTTGTCATAAAATTGTTAAATCACAACTCTGCTCAAATTTAAGTCCGTTTTTGCAAACAGGGCTCTGATATTAAAGGGTGCTCCCAGAAATTTAGTACAATAAATTGAGCTGGAAATTTCCATTAAGGTTTAGTTAACTGGTGAATAGTGGAATGCCTATCACAGGAACAAAAGATAAAAGAGGGACTCAGATTAACTTATTTCCAGGAGATGGAAAGAAAGAATTATGTGGGGGGTTTTGTGTATTAAGCTGAGGATCAAGTAGGAATTCCTTAGTCAAAGTAGATGCATGGAAAAGATATTTTTGTAGAAGCCTAAGAAAACTTCACAGAAGGGCCGGCCCGGTGGCGCACTGGAGAGTGCCCCGCTTGGGAGCGCGGCGGTGCTCCCACAGAGGGTTCGGATCCCATGTGGAGACCGGTTCCCGCTCACTGGGGCGCAACACCGAGGGTTGCGATCCCGTTACTGGTCAGTAAAAAAGACAAAAAGGGAAAAATAAAAAAAAGAAAACTTCACAGAAGAAAGAGTTGCAAGAAACACTGCTTGTTGCACTATCAGCTGACCCACNGGCGCAACACCGAGGGTTGCGATCCCGTTACTGGTCAGTAAAAAAGACAAAAAGGGAAAAATAAAAAAAAGAAAACTTCACAGAAGAAAGAGTTGCAAGAAACACTGCTTGTTGCACTATCAGCTGACCCACTGTAGAGGCAGGAATATGTTCATTTTTATTTGTTTTTTTTTTCTCTTCATCCCTTTACTGTTTTCACTCTCTTTGTGTTCTTACTACATACAGTTAATTCTGCTTTAATTAAGCTGTATTTATTTTATCTTTAAAGCAGATTTTTTTCCCAATAATTGGTCAATTCTTGCCAGTACTGTTTATTATGTTGATACATTCAATTACATTCCCATAATTGTCCACATATGAGTTAATACTAATAAACTTAAGAAGCATATTACAGATCAGGGTTGCTTAACATATAGATTTTTTAAATTTACATTTTAAAAATTTATTTGTTTTTAGACACAGGCCCAGTTTGCAGTGTGCACCAGGAGAACTTCTACTAATTGACATTGGTCTTTTATTACGGAAAGACTCAAAAGAGTGAAAATCAGGTCTGACTGGAAAAAAACAAAGTGGTCTTGCCATTATTAAGGCAGGGAAATGGGTACAGATAGAACATTCCACCCACAACAAAAAAAAAAAAATATGCTTTTTTTAAAAGCAGCCATAAGCAGTT